TACCAAATTTGATCCGGATATCTCGAAAACTGAGAGACTAGATTGCATACAAACAGACAGACAGACGGACAGACGGACAGACGGACATGGCTAAATCAACTCAGCTCGACGTTCTGATCATATAGGTATACATTTTAATGGGTCTATCTCTTTTTGTTCTGGTACTTACAAACATCGGACCAAAGTTATAATACCATTTCATGCTCATGAAAGGTATAATAATCGATGCAGGAAGAAAGCGTCAAAAAATAAATCGATTCCCCCAGATCGATTTATATACTTTACTTAATTTCCTTAAAGAAACGAAACAGCGATCTGACCAACATTGAAATTACAAACATTTGTTGCAATTAATCGTTAAAACTTACATTGTTCATAACGGTTTCAATATCTACATTTATCCAAAAGCTATCAGTTTTGATTTCTGGCAATTTTTGCCACTGAAGATGTTGCTCATTTCCTCCATAGCTCGAAATTGTTTTATATATGGAAGAAAATGTGCATAAGCGTCAAGGGAAAAATCGCCAAAAATCAACGCTAAGTCCTGATATATTTAAGGTTGCACCTAAAATTCAATGGGCTATAGAACGGAAATTATAAATCGGCAAAAAATCGAATTGAAAGGGCTCGATTAATCGATCTTCGATTTAATCGATTTAAAAGCGGCATCTCTACCTCATATACGCCTCGAGGCGCCCGTTATTGCAGCAGTAAGACTCAACCTAGAGAAAACAAAAGTATTTTTCTTCTGTGGTTGTCAGGCAGCCCGCAAAGCTTTATACTCACACATAGACGATGCAAATTCTCTTACTGAATGCTATATATCTCTGAAGGAGATAGCCCAGGTTTAAAGAATCTTTTTAATATATGTATGTATGTAGGCGCTTGAACGACCGGATGTTAATAGGAATTGTAAAGGTGGCGAGTTAGCAAGGAAAGATTCGACCACATCCTTCCAATGAAGAATTCGGGGGATATATCAATGGCTTAATTTGAACGATATTCAAGAGATCATACGACTCATTCAGCCAATGTACAGGAAAACTTTTCGTCCTGGGCAACAACGAGGATCCTTGGCCCTTCTACAACAGAAAACGCACTCGGCGAGTCGCCAATATGTTGCCATTAACGACTGTTGCCTGTTTTTCATGTTTTGCTTTGCGAAAGACCGCACTTTACTTAAAAACCACACCTGCCTGGTTTACAAAAACAAAATACAATAGAGAATAATGATCGAACTAACCAGATGACCTGACAACCAGGCAGGTGTGAATACCCCAATTTTGAATGTTAAAAACAAAAAATCAATACGTGAACACTTGTTTGAGTCACTGTGTATCTTATATTCTATGAAATTCCCAAATTGTATGTTGCTATACTTTTGACGAACGCTTGCAATATGTTAACTACATATGTATGTATGTACGTCGTATTTTATCTCTCAACTTATGTAGGTACATGCATACATATGTATATATACATGGAAGGAAAAGTACAATTTGTTAACAACGTTCAGTTGGAAGCCTACCACAGCCGGTGCCAGTTGATTACAACTACAAACTGTTAAGTTATTCGTGTGAAAATTATAACATTTAAAAGGCAACTCAGTGTGCTTGAAAATATAAACGGTTTCAGTGTGAGTTCGATTAAATCAAATTGAAATAAGTTGCAAAAAAAGAAGTGATATAAAACCGGTAGTGATAAAATAATAATTGTTATAATGTAATTATTTTATAACATGGCTTACATATATAAGCAAAAATTACACAAGTGAAGATATAGAATTAATTTCAGATACGTTTTTTTTTTGTTTTATTTAGGAGTACATTCATGCACTGCTGTGCTATCTCATACTTAACTGACGTGAGCGTATATGTATATACGTACACATGTACAGATGTATGTATGTGGCTAACAATNTAGGAGTACATTCATGCACTGCTGTGCTATCTCATACTTAACTGACGTGAACGTATATGTATATACGTACACATGTACAGATGTATGTATGTGGCTAACAATATATCAAATAATATCAAATAATATCAAACAGCAAGCTGATACTATATACATACTATACTATATATCTATTAAAATACACCAAAAACAACGGAGTTACATGCCACTTTTCAAAAAGCCCTACCTGTATTTCATACTCATTTTATAATGTTTTTTGATTCTCCTGTAAAATAAAAAATGTTTGGTTAAGGCCTTTGTGACGATATGTTTGTACGTATGTACATGTTAGTGTTCAATTTTTTTTAAGGAAAACAAATTAATTAATAATAAAATAAATCAACTTGTTTTTTTTTTATCAGGAATTTTACTTTAATATCCTGAAAAAAAATTAAAATGCTATCAGCAAATTATGGCTAATTTTCAAGCGAAATTCACCCAAATTAGCAATGAATCAGCTAATCAAAAA